CCTTGCTTTGGTATAGTTAAATATAAATATATATATTTCAGCTTTCTGCTACATTAATTTTAAAATATTTTATTTTTGTTCTTTAAATAAAAAAAAAAAAAAGGATTTCATCCATGGTTCTGTCATTTACTTTCACTCGAGGATGAACCTTCGGAAAGTAAAGATCATTACCGAACAATTTTAAAGGATATTGGGCCAAAAGTTCATTCAAGAAGTAATTATTTGGAGGAATTTATTAATACTTTACCGCCTCCTACATCATTTAATAAATGGCATAGAAAATTAGAAAATTTGCTAGAAACGCATCCAAATTCACTTTTAGGTGAAGTTGGACTAGACAAGACATTTCGATTACGTGACCAAGAATCAAAACGTCTTAGCCAAGCCCAAACTACATTACAACATCAAATAGCAATTTTCGAAAAACAATTGGATTTGGCAGCCAAATACAACCGTGCTGTTAGTATGCATTGCGTTCAATCTACGGGAGCAATAACTCAACTGCTAAATAAAAGAATCAATGAACAACAACCACTTCCACCTCGTTTATGTATACACTCATTTGGAGGTTCCGTTGATACAATTAAAGCTTTGGTTAAACAAACAAAGGGAACTTCATTAGAACTTTATTTCTCTTTTAGTATCGTTATTAATGATAGAAATAGTAGGTTACCTGATTTAATTAAAGCAGTCCCAGAGGACAAATTGTTAATTGAAACGGATTATCATTCTCCTAAAGGATTAGATTATTACATGTTAATGATCATTAAATTGGTGAGCGAAGTTAAAGAATGGACTGAAACAACGACTGTCGAAAAAACGCGTGAAAATTTCATCAAATTCATTGGAAATTGAAATCTTATTGGGATAAGGACAAATTTAAATGAATACTTTATATGTTATAATCTCTTTTTACAATTTCATCAAATTTGTTTTTATCAGTCACGAAATATCTCATATAATCAGCTTCTAGGACGTGCATTCTATTTCCTACGATAACAAGGGAATGCAATGGAAGGCCAAAATCTTCGGATAATAATTGACTTAATGTACCAGCTTTAATTAGTTGCTCTGTAAGAGAACCAAGACGCGCGATTCCTATTGCTAAAGTTTCCGATGTGTAAGCTACAATTCAAAAGGAAATTTGAGTGAATAACAAAAGGAAAATTCAAACAATAAAATATATTATGACTACCATTTTCTTTTCTTTGTTCTTCGATTTCTAATAATTGTTCAATTGCTTGATTAACGTTCATATATCGTGGGGGTTCATATATCTTCTTACCTCTAAATAAGAATGAGAAATATTAATTTCATGAATAAAAAATGAAACATTTGTTTAAAGAATTGTACCTTGCTAGATTTTCTATACTTTGTTCCTTTACTTTAATATCTAATAAACAAAGAGTATGTAAACCCAAATTTCTATTTTCTTTAATCCTATCATAAAAACTATCAGGCCTCCAATTATCAGTAAAAAAAGGAATAGAAATAGTTTGGCCAAAATTATATAATTGTAATCCACAAGCGCCAACTGCATTCATTATTGAAGCATTGTGTATTGTTTGAATGGGAATTGATAATTCTTTTGCTCTTATAATTAAATCTGCATGAGTTGTTGCACTATCCATATAATTTCAAGGGAGAATTAATTTTAGAGATTTTTATATTATCTTTAAATTTTTAATAAAGAAAACGAAACATACCCAAATGGATCTCCTACCACCAAAAATGCTACATTTTTTTTATCAGCATTTAATAAAATTTCATCACTTTGTGATTCTACCATTTCTCTGTCTGCTAATATAAGTTCCTTTCCATAAAATTCTTCCTGATAAAAAATTTAAAAATAAATATCTCTGGTAGCAATTATTTCAAATGAAATCAATGATGAAATTTACCAATTTCTCTTTGGATACCATTAAGATACTCGTATACGCTTCTAAATATACCCGTTCACATGATTTAATTGCTTCAAAACCTTTAATCGTTACATCTTTTTCATCCGACAAACCCAAACCTATTATATAAAGCATTTTTTTTTTTTTCAAAAAAAGATGAGAAATACAAACGTACAAACGCGATATTAATTAAGCAAATTTATCATGTTTTGGACACCATGGTAGTACAAACATAGTAAAATTTAACGGTAAAAAAATGAGATTTCGTAGAAAATAAGAAGAGATTAATTAGTAAATTCATGCCGAAATTTCTTGGATTTTATGTTAATTCAAATTTTTTTTATTTTGGTTTTTATTTTTTGATTTAGATAACAGATCACAATATCTTGTTTTGAGCCTTGATTTTTTTCGTTGGGTAAGTATAATTCCTAATCCTTCATCTGAGACATCTGTTTGAATGATAAATGATTTGCTTAAATGAGAACTGGGACTGTAATCACCTTAAACTTTAATTTATCGAATGAGTCTTGATGCTGTGTCGTCCAATTCCAAGATGTACTTCTCTCTTTATTAATAGTAAACTTTTTCATAATAATATTTACATTTTTGAAAAAAAAAACAAAAATTAAAAGGAAATAATAAAGCTTATATATGTTTTATTTATAAGAATTTTATTTTTAAATTATTTATTTTTATATTATTTATTATCATTATTTATTATATAATGTATTTAAATATTACTCTAAATATATTAAAATTTTTATAATAAAAATTCAACGTTGATTTTTTATTGATTAAAAATATTCGCCATAATCTATTAATAATTTTAAGAAGATTTGTATAAAGATCTAATCTTATTACTTCATCATTTACAACTATTTAAATACTTTTAATTTACAATAATAAAGAAGTATATAAAAAATTTATGTTTATATTAATGGTATTATTACACATATAAATGAATAATTTTCTTTATTTTATTATAAACATAAGAAATTTCATTTTATATATTAGTAAAATAACTTCAAATTTTTTAAAAGTAAAAATAAATTATATTTGAATTAATCTTTTATGATAATAAGTATCATTTATATAAATATCAATTTTATTATATTTTCTTTAATTGTATTATTTAATTAATTAAATAAAAATTCAAAAAATTTATATTAAAAGGTAATTATACCTAGCAACTTTTTTTTTAAATTATCTAATTCAGTTTAGGTGATAACATTTAAATTACGGATTTTTATAATAATTATCTAATCAGATATAATATTAAACTTTTAATAATATTTAGAATATTATTTCAAATTTCAATATTAAATCTTATTATTCTTAATTTGAAGATAATTTTATAATTGAATTATAAAAAAAAAATAAAAAAAATAGAATTTAAATAAACTTACTATATACTTTATTATAAAAATATATATTTTAATCTATATAATTATAAAACATTGTAAAATTTTGATTAAATATAATAAAAATTACTTTAAAAATTAAGGTTTTTAATTTGTAATTTAACTTAATTCATTCATTATAAACTTAATTAAAATAATATTTTAATAAGAATCTAAATATTATATAATAATATTATTTATTCAAAATATCTAAGATAAAAATAAAATATTCTTATTTTTTATAAATTTAATAAATGTTTATAAATATATTTATATTAAAATACTTATATTATTTAAAATTTTCTATAAAATATTTTATATTTATTATAAATATAATATAGCCTATTAAATACAATTTATAAACTTTTTATATTTTAATAATAATATATTAATAGTAAAAATTTAATTTTAAAATCTATATTATTAAAGACTATATTTAATATATATAATATAAATTTTTTTTTATAATTTTTTTACTTTTTATTATAAATATCTATATTTATATATATTAGTAAAAAATAAATTTATGCAATTTTTAAAAATTAAAAAATTTTATTATTAACACAAACTTTTTAATTCATTATTTCTAAAAAATTTTTTATATTTTAATAGCTAAAGGTTATTATTTTTAATAAGAATTTTCTTTTAAAACTTTATATAACTATAATCATTAAATAATAAAAATTAATAATTTATTTTTTATTGCTTAATAATATATATGTATTTTCATATTATTTGATTATTTTCTGATTGTAAACTTTGAAATATTAAAAATTTAAATAATATCTACTTTTTATAACTACTTTTAAGTAATCTAATTATTTATTTATATTCGATAGTAAGTTTTAAATTTTTACTTATTTTTTAGAAAAAAGGTAGTAATTTACATTTAATATAAGTTTTTTGATTTTTATTTTTATTCGTTTTTAATATAAATAATAATAAATTCTTAAAAAATCAATATACTATAAATATATATAAGAATTAAAACTTTCAAATAATACTAAAATTAATTAAGTTTATTATGTATAAATTTTTTATAATATTCAAAACCTAATAGTACAAACTTATTTTTACTATATGTATATAAGATATAATAATATTAATAATATATTTAAAATTCTTAAATATAAAATTTTTAAATAATGAAATTAATTATAATTATTAACTTTTTTATTTTATTTTTTATATTTTATAAATTAAATTATTAATCTTAATTAGGAAATAGAGATTATTAAAATGATCTTAATTAAAAAAATATTGCAAAAGCCAGCATTGATTCAATTATTGAATGTATGAATATTCAAATATTTATAAAATATATAGTCTTTCATTATGCTTTAGATTAATTATTATTAATAATATTTATTAAAATTTAAAATTTAATTAAAAATTTTAATATAATTATTTTAAATCTAGAAACTTAATTTTATTTATTAAATTTAAGAAAATTATATTTAAAAAGTTTTATAAATTATACTTCTTATACTATTTATATAAAATTATATAAGTTTATATAAATTTAATATAAATTTATATTTATAATTAGGTTTTAAAAAATTTTATATATACTAGATAAATTTGATACTATATTTGTACTATACTTATATTAATTTTTATATTAATTATTATAATATTGAAGTATTATATTAAAAATCATATAATTTATTAGTCTAGAGCAAAGTGAAGGACTTTTATATACTATTCACATATTATACAAGGTATTCTGTTATTTGCCTATTTAATAATTAAGTTGATAATAATTAGTTTTTACAATATTTTTTAGTTAAGATCATTTCAGACTTAATAATAGTTTTTAAAACTATTTTTAGTTATATCTTATAACTTGATTTTACTAGTAATAATTCTATTATTATCTAATTTACAATTAGGTAAATTAAAATATTTAATCAATTAAATAATAATAGGATTTAACTCTAATTATTTAATAAATTTAAAAGAGACTTAAATAAAATAATTTCATAAAATAATAAAAAAATATATTATATATTTTATACAACAAATTATTTAAGATGTTCATTCACAAATTGAATTTCTAAATCAGAAAGTATAAAACTTAACTGACTTAATAAAATGCATTTTAAAATAAATATAATTCTAAAGTTTAATAATTTATATTTAAAATAATAAGTTAAATAAATGCAAAATATTTAATAAAACTTTTAAAATAAAAAAGATTAATTAAATTAAACTTTACAAAGATTTATTTATTACAAAATTACTTTATCATCAATAAATAAACACATTAGTGAAATACCACATATAATATAATCATATTATATATAGTATCCCACTTACCCTAGATTATAGTATCATATATAATCTAAATATCACATATAATCTGAATATCATATATGATCTAAATAATATATAGAACTTGAATACTACATATGATCTAAATGATGTGATCTAATTATCACATATGATCTAAATAATACAATTTAAATATCACATATAATATAATATTTTATTATTTCTTATATCTCTTTTATATTCTAGCTATGTTTTTAAACCTTTCTTGATATTTGTGTTT